ACACAAACAAATATGAAATCACACAAAAACAAACTGCAAATAAAAGCACGCAAAACACACCAATCGAAACAAAGGAACAAAAATATGATACAAAAGTGTGGAAACAAACTCCTCAAGGTTGGCCCTTTGGGTTTGACTGAGCTTGTGAAGGGAACTTGCTGTGTTCTTGAACAGCCAAAGCTCCAGTCAACTTCATGATTTGACTCTTCATTTCTTTACTTTCTTCCACCATTTGCGTGAACAGTGACTCAAACTTCTGATTCGTCTTACTCTGTGCCTCCATAAAAGATTACAAAGTGTTCTCAAGAGAACTCCTTGGCTGTTGCGAATTGTATTGAGGTGCAGAATACGCCTTTGGTGGTTGCGGCTGTTGCTCAGTTCTCTATTGTCCTCCTGATGGTTGCACTTGGGTGGAATCTCTCCAACTGAAGTTTGGATGGTTCCTCCAGCTAGGATTGTATGTGTTAGAGAAGGGTTTGTTGTACGATCCTAAGGCATTGTATTGCTCCTCGTAAACCCTTCTCATTTCATTGTAAGCAGGGCAATCCTTCATTAGATATTCCACCCCTCCATAAACAAAGCAAGGCTCTTGTATCTCTGCCCTAGCAACCATGTGAATTCCTCTACCTTCTTTGGTTTTGAGGGTCTCAATTTGTCGTGTCAAAGACTCAATTTGGGCTTTGAGATTGTCCTCTTCCCTTAGTTGATAGATTCCAACTGGTCGAGACCGATTGGTGCTGTCAGTAGCACTTAGACCAGTCCATGTGTGGGCTTTCTTGGCTAACTCATTAAGATACTCAAAAGCCTCCTCGGGGTCATTTTGGAGAAATTCACCATTGCACATCATCTCCACAAATTGGCGCTCTCGGATTGTGAGTCCTTCATAGAAATAATTGACAAGGTGCCAACTCTCGTAACCATGATGGGGACACTGATTTAACAGATCCTTCAACCGTTCTCAAATTTGATATAGAGTTTCATTGTCCTTCTGGGTAAAGGTCGAGATCTGTCGCTTTAAACCATTAGTCTTATGGTGAGGGAAATACTTGTTGAAAAATGTTGTCTTCATTTCTTCCCAAGTTCTAATAAACCTAGGTCGCAGAGAATACAACCAGCTTTTAGCCTTGTCCTTCAAAGAGAAAGGGAAGAATTTCAATCGCACAGAGTCCACGTCTTCAGCTCGGTTGTGAAAAGTGGCCACCACTTCTTCAAACTCCCTAATATGTACGTATGGATTTTCGCTCTCTAATCCATGAAAGGTCGGTAAGAGTTGGATCATGCCCGACTTGAAATCCAAATTCGGCATGTTAGGGGGAAACATTATGCATGACGGTGTAGCTATTCGTGTAGGAAAAAAAAAGAAGATAATCGTTCAATGTCTTCAATTGGACCTCCTCGTTTTGAGCCATCGCGAATGGATTTTCAACTGCTAATGAGGCTGGGGTCGAGGGAGGACTAGACGTGTGGGAAGAAACTTCACTAGGGTTTTTCGGTCTTCTTGCGAATCTCCCTGATTTGTCTCTATAATGATTCATTCACTCTACAACGTTTCACTTTTTTTATTTTTTTTATTTTTTATTTTTTTAATTTTTTTTTTCAATTTTTGATTTTTTTTGTAACAAAGAAAACAATAATGTAGAACCGCGAATCGCAACCCCCAAGAGTGCTCCCAGGAAAGATTAGTGGGGCGAAGCCTCCTTAAAAACCAACCTCCTAGACAGAGCAACGTTTCCAGGAAAGACTAATGGCGTAGAACGCTAACAGGAACCAGCCTCCTAAACAGAACTCTCTTAGTTTGTACTTTTCAACGTTTCCACAAAATTGCTTGAAAATTTATTAAGTTTTATGATGTGTTTTATGACGTGTTTTATGAAATGTTAAATGTTAGATATTAGTACCCTAAGTTAATACTATTCTAAAACCTAAGGTTACACAAATTATGAGAAATTAAGAGTCCTAATTTAATGTCTAAATTGATCACTTAAAAGTCACAACCTAAAAATTAATTCTAGTTATGAAAGGAAAAATAAATGCAAATTAAAAGAAGAATAACAACAAAAATGAAAGCTAGCAAACCAATTAAAAGTAAATAAATAAAAATGAATGTTATATTTAAAAGAATGGGTAAAGTCACGGAAATGTTAAATGGAAACTAAAGAGAACTATAAAACAAAACCAAAATAAAAGAAAACAGAATGGACAAGAGTTATTAACAAAAGAAACGGAAGAATGCAAAACAAAAATGTACAAAATAAAAGATATATAACAAAACTTAAAGAAACTAATAAAACTTAAGACTCAACAACACGTTTTAAAATCTAATAAACTAAAGAAATAGAAGACACAACATAAAGTTTTACAAACGTCAAAGACAACCAATTACGGACACAACTAAGCAAATAAAACAAAGATGTTGTCAAAAGGTTTTTTTTTTTTTTTTAAAAATGTTTTTTTTTTTTTTTTTTTTTTTTTTTTTTTTTTTTTTTTTTTTGCAACCAGCAAAACAAAACCCAACTAATCAATAAAAACGTAATAATAAATATGTAATACAAGTAAAGCTGACAAAAAAAAAAAAAGTAACTGTCAAACCAAACAAAATGATAGTAGACAACAAAATTAGGCTATTCAACGTTTTTTTCTTTTTTTCTTTTTTCAACGAATAAATAAAAATAAATAAATAAATAAAAAGAAAATCTATCACACTAATGAAGAAAACTTAGCAAACAACAGGGAGCGGAAAACTGACTACAAGCTTTATACGACAAAGTAAATGTTTTTTTTATTTTTTTTTGAAACTGCCAAACAAAATAAATAAATAAATAAATAAATAAAAGACTAATAGTACCTACCTCTTTGGTTAATTATCTACTGAACAATTTTGTTGACGCACCTCCCCGGTAACGGCGCCAAAATTTGATTACGCCCAAACGTGCACAAAACAAGCGGTCAATTGTAGCACAATTAGGACGGTTGATCCCACAAGGAGGCGATAAATAAACAAGAAACGATTAGCAAATAAAAAGCTTTAGGAGATAAATAATAAAATAAAAATAAAAGAGAATGAAAGTATAGTTGAGAAGTTCAAGTGTAAGAAAAATGTATGAGAAAATTATATAGTTAAAACCGGTAAGGCGTCGAGATTCCTCTATATGCTTCGTTCACCCGAATGGATTTTGATCTTTGAGATTACTCAATTGAAAGTTTCACATCCCAAACTAACAATCGGAAAATATATATTTGAAGAACATGTAAATTAAATTGTATTCGAGTGAGTAAAATTCTTACGTTTAGTATTAGGAAAGATTATCTTATGAGAAATCTAAAAGCGACAATATACCGTTGGTAATATTGCAGTAAAAGACTACTCATAAAATAATACCTTCCAATATATAGTATCATGCAACAATCACACAAAAAGAGCTTGACTAGATTTATATAAAAGTTGACAATAAAATATATCAATATGAGAAATTAAAAGAAGATAGAAGAAAATTAATCACTCAAATATATAAACTTTGGAGAATAAATGGAGAATCAAAATCCACTCAAGATCACTTCAAATATAGGTTTCTCTCTAACCTCACCAAAGAAAAAGAAAGTGTCTAAACGTAAGCTAGAATTCAACAACATTAATCACATTGACAATGGCCCTATTTATAGAGTTTTTAGGGCATGTAAAAGAAAACACTCTTGAAAGAAAACATAAGGAATGTTTTATCCCATTGAATTGGATTTACAAGGCTTAATTCTGGAAATGAATGCTGAAATCAACCCAACGGAACCAAAACAGAACCCTGCTGAAGAATCCCAAACGGGTGAGACACGTGTTGCGCAAAGAGAGGCTGATCGGAGAAAACTGCCAATAGCTGATTTCAACTTGACACGTGGCACGCGCTGATTTGCGGAGAGGAAGAAGTGGCAGACAGCTGCATCAGCATCCAACACGTGGCGCGCGCTGATTGGGAGGATGCTGCAACGCGGGACCCACGCGGAGAAGAAAGGAAAAACGCCTGACGCGCGCGTGAAAAGAACTCGCCCGGGGAGGAAGGCCGTGCGCGCCAAGCATGCGTATGCGTGGGGACAGCTGGGTCCCACGCGGCTGAGGCGTGCCAAAAAATGACATGTGGCGTATGCGGATTCGCCGGATTGGCTCGGCTTGGCTTTGCTGGCAGACGGCTGCTGATGGGCTTCATTTCCTTTTTCTTTTAGTTTTGGCCCAAATGTCTTATTTCCCTACAATCCCTACAAAACAAATTAAATTAAATTAAAATCAAATACTTCCACAAAATATTAATTCGACGAAAATATTTAATTAAAACTTAATTTATTTAGCAATTATAAATAATTTAAGTGCAAATTTGTGCACTTATCAGCACCTCTTGCAGCGACATCCACCAATTTTGCATCGCTCATATCCAGACCATTGTAGAAATGCTGAATTTGCATCAATCTTAACACCTCATGATAAGGACATCTCATGTACAACTCTTAAAATATCTCCCAAGCTTCTGATAAAGTCTCCCTATCATGTTGCACTAAATTAGTAATCTCATTTCTCATATGAGCATCATCTCAGACTCCATTAAACTTCATGGTATCACACAACTGAAAGAAACATGCGATATGAGCATTAGGATCTTCACACTAGGCAAACCCCTGACAAGAGTTTTGAATCATGGAGATGATCGCCGGCTTCAATTCAAAGTTGTTGGCTTGAATAGCTAGAGTAGCAATGCTTGATGGTGTCCGTGTCACATCGGGGGTAGAATAATCCCCCATAGCTTTGGTGTCAGGTTCTCTTTTTGCCATGTCAAGAATCACAATCTTTCCTTTCTTCTTTTCCCGATTACGTCTTCTGAAAGTATGCTCAATCTCAGGATCAAAGACTTCAAGACTTTTAGATCGTTGCATGCACTATAAGACACCTGACAATTTTGTAAGAAAATAAAATCACATAAGAGTCTAAATTATAATTCTTGTTGTGATTGTACTTTTATTTTTTGTCTGCTATTTTTCATTCTCCATTTTCAATATTAGAATTAGGTTTTGCCTAATTTTCCCTAACAACTAGGACCTCAGCATATGGTTATGCTATGAGATCGGCGATCAAGATCGGCATATGGAAATCTTTGTTAGGGGTAGGGGCTGGAACGACGAGATCTCTATTGAGGGAAGGGGCTGCAATTTGGGATGGCGACGGGGCTACAACGGCGGGTTAGGGTGGGGGAAGGGGAGGGAAGAGAAGGTCTTGCTTGGCAAGGAAGAAGAGAGTGTAAATTATAAATATTTTATTAGTTTTCCTTAATATTTAGAATTCTAAGAAAATGAATAACACCATATTAAGTAGGTTTTAAATTACTTCAAAATGAGATTAAAAAAATCCCATTGAATTGATATTCTCAAGAATAAAAAAGTACAATTCTTGTACTAAACGTGAGGATATGCAACATTCTTATTTCCACCCTTGAGACTACTAATTGTTGTATAGAATTGATAATACAATCATGCTTCCTTTTTTCTTTTTGGTGGAATTATCTACACCAGTAACATTAGAAATGAGGTTAAAACCACTAATGAAAGAACATTCCTATTCATCTCATCGGGTTAAAATACAACCACTTACATGTGATGAGTTCCGTTAAGTAGATAAGTAAGATTCACTTTAATGAGACCCGTCATTTTGTAAGCCTGGAATTTTATTTTTATAGGGATGAATACCATTTTTGGTAATGAAAACAACAAATGCACGCACAAGTTACAACAAAGATTAAAAAGAGTGCTTGTCTTGTCCATTTTGATTTGTGACTAACCAAAGCATGACCCATGGTACTTGTATACAAGGCATCTGATTTTTGGGTGTGTGTGTAAGTAACAATATACACAGTAATAATGTATACCCCTTTTCTTAAGCTCCAAACGGGGCATTTTTGGTGTCCCAATAAACTTCCCCAACTAAGCAATTAATTATATCACTGACCAAAAAAAAAACATACGTGTTTCAGAAATCCTACTGTGGGTCAGCCCTAGTTTCAGCAGTAAGACCTCGTTTATTTCGCTGATTCAAGTTTATAATTCGAGTTTTGTTACAGTAAAAAATTCTCAAAAATAATCATATCTAATTTTTTTACTACAATAAAAAATACTCACATAAAATCACATTTTAACTCAAATTAAAAATTCAAATCAATGAACTAAATGGACCCTAAGACAATGTAAAAAGATCCTACGCCGGTTACACAAGACGCAAAGCAACCAAATTGTCAGTCCCTAGTTCAATTTCAAATTTCAAACAAATTGTCTTTTGTTGTTTGTCATTATGATTAATTTAATTAATAATTATTGACAAGCACATCACACATTTGTCTGCCATTAGTCATTTTAGTAGAGTTCTTAATTCCTATTATCGTCTAATGAGTAATTTTATCATTTTACCTTTAGAGAAGTAAAATTACTATTTTACCCTTTGTTTTATTACGTGACTTCTTCTTAAGCGAGCCAGGTTCTAAAATTGTCGAGGGCCTTAATGTACCTTTCACTGTACAAAAAAATGAACTTAAAGCCATTTCTAAAAACTAATAGTATAAAAAATCATTTTTATAAATTTGCTTCATTTTTTAGTCCCAAAAGTAATCACTTAACTACAGTTTTAAAAACTGATTTTCTATTACTTTAAAACTGTCCAAAACGCTGATTTCAAGACTGTAAAAACTCTGCTTTAATGCCTTTTTTAAACTTTGCAAATTTGACTGAGTTTTGGTGAATTTTGACATTTTAGTCCATTACTTCTAATTTTAACCCCGTTTATAACTATTTTGACAATTTAGCCCCCCAAAATAGATTTTAACATTTTTAAACCATCTTGGGTTATTTTTCAACTAAAAGGTTGTTTAGTTGCTAGATTCATAACATGATTCGAATCATGATTCATGGTTCGTTACATTATTTTCTCTCACAAAAAATACACGTAAATTAAAAATGATTATGAATCATAATTCTGAATCCATCAACCAAACGTCCATTAAATTTTAGTACCACCGTTGTCATGATACATAGAATCTGCCATTGTAGCAGTTTTCAAAAATGTATCCGGTAAGGGGTTTTTTTTTTTTTTTTGTATCTTTAACCTGAAATAGTTAAATCCTTACTTTTAGTCCTCTAAAGCATGTTAATCAAATTTCTTGGAAAAAAATAAACTTAAAATCACCGTAAACTTGCTGCCTTTTTTTACAGACATTTCAACATACAAAACTTGAATTATTTGAGTCCAAAAATCAAGTTTACCAACTTTTTTTTTTTACTTAAACTACGTAAATTAGTACATTTGAGAACTAAAATTTAAACAAACATAACTTGAATATAGAGAAACATTTTCAAACATTTCATGAGACAAAATCATATACCATTCAACCATATATCATGACAAAGACAAATTTTTCATGCTAAATTTTGGTTTTTTATGCCATAGACGTCCAACATAATTCACATTTTTTCTTAAAAAAAATTGAAACTTTTATTACCAATCTTTTTACCTAGTTTAGGTCTAATTCCTTTTTCATGTGATCACACTTTCTAGAAACATAATGACTAACACAACATACTGACAAACTCATTTTAACATAAACTAACATAAGTTTACATATTCCTTAAAATGACAACTTACAACGAACTTTAGACCAAAGTTTAGAGATTTTTTGTATATACCGAGAGTGAGGATATTGAATGGATCTTGAGCCCTTCCTTGAGCTTCTTGGAGAATCTTAGCTTGCACTTAAGAAAATACCTAGTTTAGAAATTAATCCAATCCTATAAACTAAACCACAAAATCATCACACAAATTAGCTTTCTTTACCAACACAACTTCTCATTATCATCATCATCATTATTATCATCATCATTATTATCATCATTATGATTATGATTATGATTATGATTATGATTATTATTATGATTATCATTATTATTATGATTATGATTATGATTATGATTATCATCATCATTATCATTATCATTATCATTATCATCATCATCATCATTATCATCATTATCATTATCATTATCATTATTATTATTATTATTATTATTATTATTATCATTATTATTATCATTATCATTATTATTATCATTATCATTATCATTATTATCATTATTATTATTATCATTATTATGATTATTATCATTATCATTATCATTATTATCATTATTATTATTACTATCATTATCATTATCATTATTATCATTATCATTATTACTATTATTATTACTATTATTATTATTACTATTATTATTATTACTATTATTATTATTATTTTTATTATTATTTTTATTATTTTTATTTTTTTTAGGCTTGATTTGAAGAAATATTTGAGAGGGAGAGGATGTATAAACGGCAGCCTTGGGAAGAAATGGAGAGAGAGAAGTTTGCTTTCTACCTATGGGCATTTATAGACTAACATTTGGGCTTATTCTCAATATTTTTAGGGCCATTTTGCAAGGGAAAAGTCGGCAGGTTTGGGGTAAGGGTATGATTACTAAAAGTAAAAAGTAAGTTTAACAATTTTCTCTTATTTTGTAATTTGTATTACATATGAAGACCGATAGTAAGTCTTTTACTAGTGCTATGGGAAAAAAAATTAAACCCAAAAAAAGCAAAACACAAAAAAGGACAAATCGAGAAGAGAGGTAGTACCCTACGAAAAGAATGAGAAAGAAAGAAAAAGAGAGAGTGAGTCGATCGGAATTCTAAGACCGCCTCCGGACGCATCGTTGGACTTCTGGTCCTGAAATTGGTTACGGGGCTCGTATCATTGTGGGCTTTTCAATAGCGGTGGTTGTGTTTAGCAGGGTGACTTCGTTAGGGCTAAGTTGATTTTGTTTAGAGGATGGAATCCATACTACTTATAGGCATTTTCTTACGTATTTTCTCATCTCGTGTTTGTACTCTTTCCGGATTTTGTTCAAGATGGTGGTAGGCTTCTTTTGGAGGTGTTGTCAGAATTTACTAATAAAATCAATTTTTATCGAGTGTCTTATATTATGCACCATAGAGTCATCCACGTTATTATTAGTGTAGATTAGACTTTTAGTTTGAATGAAATTTAACATTATAAAAAAAATCAAAACGACGATATTTACTGGTAGCTAAGGTCCCAAGCACATGCTAATAATGGATTAGATTCGTACTATAATTTAAATTATGGTTCGTGATTCGCTATAATATTTTCTCTTAAAAAAATATACATAAATTAAAAATAGTTCTGAATTATATATCTAAATTCATTAACCAAACAGACATCTATTTTAATGTGGTATATATATTTTTTGCTAATTAAGGCAAAGTCCAGTTGAAAATGACTCCTTTGTTCGAAAATTCAAAAAAAAAGAAAGAAACCCTTTTATTTATTCATTGGCATTATTCTGTCCATAATTTTACACAATCGAAGTTAGATTTGGGTACACTAGTTTTAAAGCGCACACGTATATCCATCTTCCAATTCTTACAACGAAAAGTTTCTATTGTTCTTCAACATTATTTATTTATTTATTATTATTATTTTTTTTTAGAAATTTCGTTGCGACCCATTTGCCTCAGAACAATTGGGTACACAGACCTTGCTGATCCAGATTGGTTTCGTGCGAGAACTGGGATTTCGAATTCAGGTAAAATGCGAGCGACCTTTTACAGATCTTTGTCAATTTGAGTTATTGTTTCGTAGAGTTTCTGGGTATTTCTCTTTTCTGTTTATTTCCGAGAAAAAAAGGAAGAAGAAAAAACCAAAAAAAAAAAAAAAAATCATATTTGGAGAGTTGATTAAAACTGATCTTAACATGCGCTTTGGCTTCTACACTGTTAGATTTCATGTGAAGTAAGCAAAGGAGTTGGCTTGAACGTATGAGGTCTTTTTTTTTCTTTTTTATTTGACCCAATTAATGAAGAATTTTAGGTTCAAAATTTTGTTTTTTGTTTTGTTTTTGTTTTTTTGTTTTTTTCCTGAGCATTAAAATCAGCCAGCAAAAGAATTCCTCTATTTGGGTTCTGTCATTTTCTTCTTAGCTCATTCTATTTCATTAGGATTTGAGTTTTCTCTTCACTAGTATTTAAGTGGGCAGAAAAACAAAATTTTTTTTTTTGAGGAAAAGTGGGCTTTAATGTGGGTTGTAATTTTCTAGGCTTTATAATGAAGAACTCTAGGTTCAAATTTCCACTTTCCGCCTCATTTCTACATTGTTTTTAGTGTAAATAATCAGGGGCATTATGTTGACAATTAAAAGTTCTTTTTCTTTGGCTTCTGTTTTTGTGAAACTGATGCATTTTTCTGATTCTTTTTCATTAGGATTTGATTTTGTTCTTCACAAGTATTTAAGTGGAGGGGGAGAAACCAACAGGAAAAGTTTGTTTTTTTCCCTCTAGAGGATATGGAAATCTCGGAAATTTTGTAGTCAAAATGGTGGCTGAAGATGATGGGGAAAGGGCCTCTGATCGATAAAGTTGTGTGTTGAAATTATTGGAAATGAGTCGGTCTCCTTCGTTTTCAGTGAAGTCGGAACTCAGTCCAAAGCTTGATCCAGAATCTTTGCAGCAATGGGTTGTGGCATTTTGCATTATAAGATTTGATCTAGAACAGGGTCAGCTCATTGAAGAGTGTTATCCACCTGGTTGTCTTACACAGGAGGAGGAGCTCGAAATTGCCTTCAGTTCATTCCCAGATTCTGTTTCCCAGCATCAGAACCGTTCGAGCATTCATGATTGTATGTTCTTTTTCCGGTTTCGAAGGCCAGAGAATTCTCAAACAGGTAATGTGTCTTCCACCAATACCGGCGCAACTGACAAGGAGTTATCTCCCAAGTCTGCGGACAGAGGATTTCTTAGAAGGTTGAAAAGCAGCAATAATGTTTATGGTTCTAGGTACATGTATGGTTATGTCTTCAATAGAGAGAGACATGATGAGAGGTTAAAGCGAGGTGGGGAGCAAAAATCTGTGGTAATTCTGTCTCATAGTCCGTACTCTAGTGTGTTTAAACCTTTGTTACAGATAATGGGTCCTTTATATTTCGACATCGGAAAGAAAGCTCTTGAACATATTGCTGCTTATGTATCGATATGGCCTGCTCCGGTACCTGGTAAGCTTATGGAGCTTCCTATTGGGAATGCCATGCTTAAAGTGAACTTGCCGCCTGCTCACAGCTTGCCCTTGGAAAGTGGGATTTCGTTTGAAGAATCTCCTTCTTCTATGGCTCCTTTTCTTCCTACTAATCAGTCAGTTCCTCAGGGTCTGTTTCATGATTCGGATATTTTTGGTACCTTCCGTGGTCTTCTATTGCAGCTTTGGGTTTTGTGGGAGTTGTTAATTGTTGGTGAGCCCATTCTGATCATCGCTCCAACTCCACCACAGTGTTGTGAGGCTGTGGCCAGTCTTGTGAGTTTGGTTGCACCTCTACTTTGTAGTGTCGATTTTAGGCCCTATTTCACCATCCACAACCCGGAGTTCGTCAACCTCAATTCTCTTAAAGAAGGAGATGCATTTCCTCCTATTATTTTGGGGGTGACTAATCTCTTTTTCCTTAAATCACTGCGCAACATCCCCCATATTATTTCGGTTGGAAGCCCTGCTCCTAATTCAAACCGCCTTGCCCTTTCCAATAGGTCCTCTACTGGCCGAATTCCTGGCAAATCAGAGGGATTTGGTTTTCAACAGCTTTCCTTGAAAAAGTTCTCTCCTTCAAGCTTGTTAAATGCTGTGAAGTTGAGGCGGGATGGTCCCCTTTGTCTCATGACGGAACATAAGGAAGCCATATGGAGCACTTATGCAGCAACGACTAAGCCAGACACTTCTATACTGAATAGACTTATTGACGCTGGCATGTCACCTAGGATTGAAGAGTCAATGTCAGTTGTTAATAATGAGATATTGCGGCGGCATTTCTTGGAGCTCACTACCAACTTCTTGGCTCCTTTTGGGCCGTACTTTAGGACCATCACTCCTTCAGAAGGATCTTCTCCATTTTTAGACCCTCCTCCGTTTCCTCCATTCAGTTCTGATGAATTTCTATCAACCTTATCGGCAAGAGGCCCTGGGAAGTTCTTGTCAAAGCGGATGACATCTAATTGGCTGGACTTATATAGGTAATGGAAGTACTATCTGTATGCACAGTTTACCACTAATACTCTTTTATGTTCTTTTATTTTGTTCTGTCCACAGATGTAGTTGTCATTTCTCTATTTTTTATTCTTATGTCAATAGTCTTCAGTTACTAATCTTATGGTAGTTTACGTTTGACATGTAAGTCTTTTACCTTTCGATTCAGGCGGTTTTTAAAAGGACCTAACTTTATGCCATGGTTTCAAAGAAGGCGTGCTGTTGCTGAACAAGAACAACATAGACTGTGGAGGCAGGCGAGAATGAATGCGGACATACAACAGTTAATATCTAAGATGTCTGAATTGGAAATAGTTGATTCCTTTAATGCAATTGAAAGGCATATTATTGGAGAAATACAGGTAAAGTATCTTTATTAAAGTAGCTCGCATTTGTTTTGTGTGCCTCCTAGCTCTTATGGGGTTTCCATTTTTTATTTTATTAAATTGTTAATTTAAGTACCTGAAACCGAAAAGGAGAGGCTTTATGTTTAAAACTTGCTTTCATCTAGTTTCTAGTTTTTTTTGTTGTTGTTGTTGTTGTTGTTGTTGATATTTTTAAGGGTTGTTCTTTTGCATTTTTGAGTTAGGGTGACTTGAGTGACGATCTTGAGTTGAGTTTGAGTTATAACTTGAGTTGAAGTTGTAAGTTGAGTTTGTGTTTGGATGTGCACATTTGAGTTATGATTTGAATTGAGAATCTTTTTGAGTTTGTGTTTGGGTGAGTTAAAACTTAAATTTGTATTTAGATAGTATTTTAATAAAAACTCAATGGTGATGAAAAATTTTAATAGGGTATATGGGTGGGGTTTTATTCATCTTTTCGTTATGAGTGCATAGAAAAAAAAATCATCTTAATCAGAAATAAAACGATTAAGTTATGACATTTTTAAGAATAGAAAAAAATAATGTTCATTAACTTGAGTTCGAGTTTATGAACTCGAGTTGAGGGAAAACTTGAACTCGAGTTGAAGGGAAAACTTGAACTCGAGTTCAAACTCGAATTTTACAAAAGAATATAAACTTGAATAAAGTTGTAACTCGAGTTCAAACTTTTTCTGAGTTTTGTTGTAAAAGAACAAGCCCTTAGTTTCTAGTTTTGGTTACTTAGGCTTAGTTTGATATTACTTTTTCCTCTCAAAATCAGTTTCTACTTGTAGCAAAAGCTTATTTTAGTGTTTGGTAAATCTCCGTAAAAGTGATTTTTAAAGAATTTTTAAGAATCTACAGTTAAAATCAGAAGCAGTCTAAACACAACTTTAGCTTTTAGATTGTGTAGGAATCAGCATAGTACAATTAATGAAACTTTTATAATACCCATAATACCCCTAATAAAATTTAAAATTTACAATATTCTCAATATAAAATTCACTCGTAATATAATAAAATATAATAGTAATATTGTAACAAATAATATCATAATTATATTAATAACTCTAATATTATTATTTTATCATATAATATGATATTATAATCATATTATAATTATTTTAATAATATGATATTATAATTATAATATAAT